GAGGGCAACAAATGTATAGATGTGCTTTACACAATTGATCTATGTATTGTGACGAATTGTATGAGCCCCAATAAATTGATTAAAAAAAATAAAAATAAAAAATCATGTTATTGGGGGCTCGTACAACTCTTGTCGCAATCCATCCATCCATTGTGTCGAGCACATTTGTACACTTGTTGCCCTCGTCATTTTAAAATATTTTCTTTCTACTTGAGCCCTTGGCATCAACGTCTCATTATTTCCCAGGTATTGGATTTCTTTGGTTTGGATTTCTCCTGGTTAAAAGGGCGCCCTAGCTGCTAGTGGAGGACCTGTGATGGTTTAGTGCTTATGCATTTGGGCTGCGACCCGAAAGGTTAGCAGTTCAAACACTGCCCAGCCCCTCAGCGGCAGAAAGAGGGCTTTCTAGGAGAAAGAGGTGGCAGCCTACGCCCCTCAAGATTACAGGCTTGCTTCAGCAGCATCCAAACTGAAAATGATAATAAGAAAGAACTGATTAGTATGGCCCCTGCACAAGGATGACATAAATTTGTGAAGCATTCCAGATACATATTTTTTAATCTTTTAAATTTATTTTTATTATTATTTTGGGGAGGTTACGTATCTTAATCCTGAGCATAAGCCTGGGGAGCCAAAGCAGAACAAGGATTACAAACAGAAAAATCAGACACAGTCCATGAGACAACATGCTCCATGTACACCATAAAAACAACACAAGGTTTTGTAGCTGAACCTGAACGTGCACTTCAAAAGGAGACACTGACAAAAAGGTGGAACGTGCATAGGACCAATAGTGCCACTTCACCAACACGGAAGACAACATCAGAGACCGAAAGAAACACACACACACACACACACACACACACACCAGGGGGCTTCAAAAAGTTCACGGAAAAATTCCAGGATCATCTACCTTCGTTCTCTCATGACTTTTTCAGAAGTCTTGTGTGTGTGTGTGTGTGTGTGTGTGTGTGTACATACATACATTGCATTCCATATTTTTATGTGAAATCCAGCACAGGTAAATCGGTAGAGACAGTAACTGGCATGATAGTTTCTTAGGGAATGGTGACAGAGGTTGGGGGAGGTAGAGCACTAATTAATGTCAATGAGTATAAGAATGAGAAAAAAAAGAGAAAAAAATTAAGAATAAAAATATTAAAATTAAAAAAATATATATTAAAATAATTTTTAAAAAGAATGAGAAAAAAAGTGCCTCAAGCTCTCTTTGATTTCAGTAATAAAGTTTCATACTCTGCATATGAAATTATAATCATAATTGAATTTTTTTTAAGAGCAGGGTCACAGCTTTGAAAACCTTCCATCAGACCTGAACACTCATCTGAGTGGCTAGGAGGGAAAAAAAACCTGAAGTTGACGTAAATTCTTTTGCTCGTTTCAAACAAAGGAATGAAGTACTAATTTGTGCCACCACATGGCTGAACCTTGGAAAACGACGCTAATTAAAAGATGTCATACACAACACGTCACAGCGGGTCTGTTGTCATGTACACGAAATGTGCAGCAGATGAAAATCTATAGGAGCAGAAATCAGATCCGCCGTCTGCTCCGGCAGGGGCAGGAGGCGCTGAGGGCAGTGGGGAAGCGTCGCCAATGGAAACGGAGTTGCTAATGTGCTCAGAACGGATTGTCGTGATGACCATAAAGACCATTGAGATGTACATTGTAAATGTGGAGACCGAATAATTAATA